AAGGAGGACGAGGAGGGAGAAAGAGAAGAACAATGGGGAAGCCGGAGAGGAAGAAGTCTACCGAGACCTCTGGGGCTCACGAAAGGCAAGGAGACACAACTAAGAAGCGCCCGGAAAAGACACATCCTTGATCCCCAGGATAAGGTTGAGGAGGAGGAGGACGACGATTTCAAACGTCCAAAATTTTGGCTAAGTCCTCGGTGCAGCAGTCCGGTACAAGGGAGGGCAGGATGGCAGACAGGCTAGCGAACACTGCGAAAGCTCGTATGGAGAGGGATACGGTCAAGACGTTCTGCTTAGCGCGTCGCGGCTGCTGTCACGGCTACACGCTATGCGCTCAGGCTGAGGGCGTGTTGCTCTGTATCGCGGAACAGGAGGCTGGGAAACGCTCGGAGCGGACTGGGATGTCGCTAGCGTGTCGCGCCGAAGCGTGGTGGGCCAGAACTAGCGGCGCGACACGCGATGTGAACTTTCCTGGCCGTCCTGCACGGAAGAAGCGGCTGCGTAAACGTAAACATTCGGAGGTCCGTGCGGACTTTTTCAGATCGACGCTAGACACCCCGCACTGGCGCGTGGAGCGCGCCAAAGGCGGCGCTGGAGGCGCCGCCAGGGGGGCCCGCAGGTCCGAGAAACCCGTGCAAAACTCCGACATGTTCTGTTTATCCAATTTTTCTCAACCGTCCTGTGGTGTTGGGTCCTCGTTTTGACCCCCCCCATTATGGCACAACCCTCACACGTGGCCCCGTAGGGTGGTCCACCCAAGGCCCCAGTGGCTGCGTTTACTTGCCGCCTCCTGTCCCCTCTGGCCCACCACTCACACGTTTCGTGGCCCTCGAGGGAGCTCCACCGAAGGCCCCAGTGGCTGCGTTCACATGCCGTCTCCTGTCCCTTCTGGCACACCCCTCACACGTTTCGTGGCCCCCTAGGGAGCTCCACAGAAGGCCCAAGTGGCTGCGTTCGCATGCCGCCCTCCTCCACTTTGGCACACTCCTCGCACCCTTCGTGGCCCCATAGGGAGCTCCACCGAAGGCCTCAGTGGCCTGGTTCGCATGCGTTCCCCCCACCCAGTACAACGTTTCGTGGCATCATAAAGGGGCTCCACCGAAGGCCATAGCGGCGGTGTCCGATTGCGTTCCCCCATCTCAGTATAGGGTTTCGTGGCCCATCGGAAGCTCCACCGAAGGCCCTAGTGCCGGCGTTCGCATGCGCCTCCTCCACCCAGCACAACATTTCGTAGCCCCATAAGAAGCTCCACCGGAGGCCCCAGCGGTGGTGTTCGCATGCATCTCCCCCGCCCAGTACAACGCCTCGTGGCCCCATAGGGAGCTCCACCGAAGGCCCCAGTGGCGGTGTTCGCAAGCGTTTCCCCCACTCAGTACAGCGATTCGTGGCCCCATAGGGAGCGCCACCGAAGGCCACAATGGCAACGCCCGCATGCGTCCCCGCCCCATGCCGACACACCCTTTACACGCATCGTGCCCCCCCATCCTTGAAAGCGATACCCACAACGGTGACACTCACAACTGCATATAGTTGGACCCTTCGCCAGGACAATCCCTTCGCCGGCGTAAGGAGGACGAAGAAGGGCCCATGTCTTACCACCATATGTCCATTCCGAGCACTGCCGAACCATCCTGTGGTGTTGGGCCCTCGTTTTGAAGAGGCAGCGCCCCGCGTCCCACACCTTCTCCCGTTGCCTCCTACTGCTATTCCTCCGCCTCCTCCCTCCTCCCACCTAGCTTCTGCCCTCTGCATGTCCTCATCGCTAGTATTCATTATCATCGTCATCATCATCGTCATCATCACCGCGCGACGAATTTCGGCACACCCCTCAGATGTTTCGTGGCACTACAAGGAGCTCCACCGAAGGTCCCAATGAGTGCGTTCTCATGCCACCGCGCCGCCCATGTCGGCACACCGCTTGCACGCTCCGTGGCCATACAGGGAGCTCCGCCGAAAAACCCGCTGGCAAAATGTACCTGCGGTTCCACACCAATTTCGGCACTCCCCTCACACGTTTGTTGGCCCTACAGTGTGGACGCCCGAATTGGGTACAACAAGTGTTGTCCCAAACCAACAGCGGCCGCTGTTGGGCAGGCGGCCTTCTGTCTCAAATGGACACAGGCCGCGGCGACACCGACAGCGAGTCCTGTTCAAAATGAACAGGAACTGCTGTTGGGCATCGTACCCATTCATTCCGTACCCATTCCGTTCGTGCTGATACAGGGGGCTCCACCGAAAGTCCCAATGGCTGCGTTCGTGTGCGTTCGCGCCACCTGTGTCGGCACACCCGTCACACGTTCCGTGGCCCTGCAGGGGAGCTCCACCGCGGGTCCCAAGTGGCTGCGCTCGCGCGCGCCCGCGCCACCCATTTCGGCACAGCCCTCACGCGATCCGTGGCTCTACAACGAGCTCCGCCGAAAGTCCTAATGGCTGCGTCCGTATGCGTCCGCGCCGCGTATTTCGCCACACCGCTCACACGTTCCGTGGTCCTACAGGGAGCACCGCCGAAGGTCCCAATGGCTGCGTTCGCGTGCGTCCGCGCCACCCATTCTGGCACAACCCTCGCACGTCCCGTGGTCCTACAAGGAGCTCCACCGAATGTCCCAGTAACTGCGTTCGCATGCGTCCGCGCCGCCCATTTCGGCACACGCCTCACACGTTTCGCGGCCCCAACGGGAGCTCCACCGAGGGTCTCAACGGCAATGCCCACCTGCGGTTCCCCGCCCATGTTTGGCACACCCCTCAAAGGCTTCGCCGCCTCATAATGAGCTTCACCGAAGTTGCACACCCCATTCACACATTTCGTGGCCCCATATAGAGCTCCACCGAAGGCCCCAGTGGCACAGTCCACATGCAATTCCCCGCCGAATTGGGCACACCCCTCACCCGCATCGTCTCCATCGTGAGCTCCACCGAAAGCGGTACCCACAACGCAGAATTCACGACTGCATATGGTTGGGTCCTTCGCCAAGATCATGTTTGAACGGTCTTGGTCCCCATTGAGGCCACCCGAAGCTTGGAAAGAACAAGCTAAAACCTCCCGTCGTGTTATTCACGACGCGAGGAGCGCGAGGAGGATTGTAGACAGAACAGATGCGTACACATCAGACTGTCGGGGCTCCGAGCGCATTTGTCTTGGATCGGCGCTGAGGCTCCCTGGTGGCGACTTCGGCGACGCCCCAGGGTCGATACAAGAACTCCACGCAGATCTCTGAAAGTTGTATGTTGATGCACTGTTTTTCTTCGTCGAGAGTCGCAAGTCGGGAGTCCAAGAAACAGAGAAAAGGAGCGATGGCTGAGGTTTGTTTGGTCTTTGCCCCCTCATGTGTGGGCCCCCAGAAGACCTCCAGAGGGACCCCGAGACCTGTGAAGACCTCCAACACTCCCCAAAGACCAGCGGGGAGGAGGAGACGGCGGATGAGGAGCAGAGGGAGGGGGAGCTGGAGGAGCAGGAAGACGAGCTGAACCTGACGCAGGAGGATGAGCGTGTGAATGAGAAAGAAGAGGAGCGTGGGGAGGAAGGGCGACGCGAGACCGATCGCGAACAGCTATGCCCGAAAGAAAGCGCATCAACTGCAGCCGCACTCGTTGCGCATGGATGACGATCAAGGTTAAGCCACCGGGGATCACTGAAGAAACTAGAAGAAAGACCACCAGCATATACAGACAGAGTCGGGACAGTTTCGGGGCCTCCGACGGTTTACGTTTACGCAAAGGCTTTGGCGCCTCGATGGTCTTCCTCCAGCGCTGGCGCTGGCGGCGGACGACGACGCGGGCGACAGGCCGCACCGCACCCACCCCTTCGAGGCCCGAAAACCATCACTTCACTAAGTTTGGGACCCAGGGCCCACTGAGGCCCCAGGGGCCCCAGATTGGTGAAGCGATGTTTTCTCCCACGCAGGGACCCCGAAATTCATCGCTTCACTAAACCGGACCCAGGACGAAAGTCAGGGGCCGAATTGCTGCGGTGATGCCACATCGGCCTCGTAACCCCCCACTCGGAGGCCCCGCCCCGCGGCACCAACCGCCGACGACGGCGGCGACCACGGACGGGGGAGGAGGAGGAGGAGGAGGAGGAGGAGGAGGGAGGAGGAGGAGGAGGAGGAGGAGGAGGAGGAGGAGGAGGAGGAGGAGGAGGAGAGGAGGAGGAGGGGAGGAGGAGGAGGAGAGGAGGAGGAGGAGGGAGGAGGAGGAGGAGGAGGGAGAAGGAGGAGGAGGAGGAGGAGGAGGAGGAGGAGGAGGAGGGAGTGCCGAGTAAAAATCTCGGCCGAGAGGGGGCGGTGTGCCCGTGCGCACCGGCTGCTCCTGCATGCAGGAGGCTGGCGTGGGCCGCGGCGGTGGGCAGGCTTCCCCCTGTCCGGCTCCTGCCTGTCTTCGGCAGGCCGCGGGAGCGAGAGCTCGAACCGCCAGGCTCCTCCTCCTCCTCCTCCTCCTCCTCCTCCTCCTCCTCCTCCTCCGCCTCCCTCTCCTCCACCTCCTCGCCCTCCAGCTCGGCCCCGTCTGCCCGGTCGACCATCGGAGCGCGCGCCCGAAGAGGGGGGGCGAGGGGGAGGGAGGAACGGTACAGATGTGCCCCCAGTTCTGACAAGAGCCCATCGGGTCAAGAACCCAACTTGTCGGGCCAAGAGCCCAATTCATCGGGCTTAGGGCCCCCATGGGGGAACCATTGGGCCAAAAACCCAATGCATGAATCATCGCCCAGAACGCTGCTGCGTCACGCCCCCTCCCCCCTCCCCCTCTCAGATTTTCTCAAGCCGTCACCCTGCATGACGCGAGGTACGACCACATCGACGAGATCGTCCAACTGATCAACGCATTCCTGCGCAACCTGGTGATCCGCATCGTCCACTGTGGAACCGCCTGCGTAAACGCTGCACCCATCGGCGTTTTCCTGGGAAACAGGTTCATCGACCGAGGACAACTCCACCCTACCCTCCCGTCGTCTTCCCTTACATCCAGAGTTGCTGTCGTTTTCAATTCTAAGGCGAGAGCTCTGCGGAATACTTGGCTCTCGGATCTAGAGTCCTGCCTTCTAACAGCCCCCCAGATCACAAAGAAGAGGCAGGAGGCAGGGCATGAACACTTAGGAGAGGGGAGGATAGAACTAGGAATGAGCAGATATGGAGGAGAAGGAGGGAGCATGGAGAAGTCAGAGTGGAAGAAGGGAAGGACAGAAAAGCAAAGGGAGTGGAGAGAGACGGAGAATAGGAAGGAGGGAGGGGGATGAGGAGGAGGCAACGCAGTTCAACGTGGAGGACGGAGTGACCACGCAGAGGGGCGGAACAGGGAGAGAAGCAACACAATGAAGGACTGGACTGCAGCAAGGGCGGATAGCACAGACAAGGGAACATCGTGCTCGCCCTGGGCGTCCAAACGCCCAACTACCGGACGACGCTCGAAAACACGGGTCCGAGGCCCCCCTGAGCTCTCCAGACGTCTCCCGAGCCGAACGTGCAGAAGCCTCGATGGTCAACCCTGGATCATCGAGGCCGCTCCCCCCGTGGCCAGGTCCGCCCCTGTCGCAGTCCCCGAAGCGTCCTGGACGCCAAGGCGCCTGCCCCGCGCCCCCCACCCCCCGCAAGTCGCCTCGCACCCTCGCGCGCGCGAGCGCCAGGCACTCGCGGTGTATGCGAGGAGGGCGAGGAGGAAGAGGAAGGAGGAGGAGGAGAAAGGGGGAGGAGGAGGAGGAGGAGGAGGAGGAGGAGGAGGAGGAGGAGGAGGAGGAGGAGGAGGAGGAGGAGGAGGAGGAGGAGGAGGAGGAGGAAGAGGAGGGGAAAGGGGGAGGAGGAGGAAATGAGGAAGGCTGGAGGGTGGGAGGAGGAGGACGGCTGGAGGGTGGGAGGGTGGAGGGAGGAGGAGGGGGAGGAGGAGATGGGCAGGAGGAGGTGGGGCCAGGCGCGCCTGCGGGAGTCCTCTGGCCGCAGTTGCGCGTGGACTTGGACTGCGCGGGCGTGTGCGAGCCATCCTTCTCGATCTGGCGGCGCGGCAGGCAGCACTCGTCGGGGCGAGCGGCAGGAGACTAAAGGTGAGTGCAGGCTTCGGCTGCGCTTCGCGCGTGCACTCTCACCTTGGGTCCGCACGCCGCCGCGGCGCGCCAGGCGGATCAGATGGCTTCCCGCGTACGCGCGCTCGCTCCATCAACAGAATGCCAGCGTGGAGAAAACTCGACTCGTGCGTGCGCCGTGTGTGTGTATATATATATATATATCCTGGGCAGCTGCAAACTGTGCCTCGCATCGCTGCTGTTGTGGCAAGTCGCACAACGCAGCCCGATACGCAAAATCCGACGAAACATATGAAGTCCGAAGCCGACACCACTTACCGAAGGCTCCCAGTATTTGCGTCGCATCGCTGCTGTGGTAACTCGCACAAGGCAACCCGATACGCTCACTGAGACACAGAGCATGATGTCCGAAACCAAACACAATTCACGTAAGAGCTGCGAACCCGATTGAATCGAATGTGCATGATTGCCAAGGTGGGTCTCAAACAATAAACGTTTGCACGCCTGACGCGCAAACACATGACTCTGGTAGTACCAATCTGAGTACTGGTCGCCATGCTAATGCTTAGCAGTAGTCGCATGGTTTGCCGAAACAAGACAGTAGTCGTAATGCGTAAAATGTTGTTTGACCGCCCTTGCTTTTCGTGTGTTGCATTGTGTGGCTTTGTTTACGGTGTTGCCTGATTGCTGCGTTGCTGCGTGTCGAGTCTGCTATGCTGGTCTGTTCACTGCCGTGCTTGTATGGATCTCCCCTGTTAGACGAAACACGAGGGAGCATCGAGGCGGACAGGGCGGAACAGTCCGAGGTAGCGCCCCCCTTATTTTACTCTGGTACATCGAGCCCATCAGACTCAGCTTCACTACTGTGAGGGCTCAACGCAGCTCGTGTTGAAACTTATGAAGGGGCCCTGGGACACACAAATAAATACACACACATAAAGGTATTCCCTACATTTTCCAATATTTTCTGTTTTTTTTGTCTTCCCGCCCAATTCCCATATTTTCCGGGGGCTCGACGATTAATTTGTCTGTGTGTTTCTTTCCCTCCTGAACTTAACCAGTTTGGGGTGGCGCGCCAATGTTCCCGAGAACTCGCCGCGCTGGCGCCCGCCCCCCCGAGGCCCGCACGGCGTGCTCCCATGCTCAACACCACGCCCAGTGCTCAGCGGCATCCGTCTCCAGCACAGCACCCGGCACCCAGCAGCACCACACCCTGGACTCCACGGCCTCCGGAGCCATAACAGACCCCGGCACTCCGCAGCCGGCGCTGTCACGACGGCCACACGAGGCCCCCTGCCCCCCAAGCTGCAAGAAGCATATCTGGTACTAGACGTGCCCCTCTGCTGTGCCCCACCCGCTGCTAGACGAGGCCCCTCCCCACATCGATTCAAGACGAAACATCCTCGATGCTAGACGTGCCCCTTTGCTGTACACCGCTCGGTACTAGGCGTGCCCCTGTGCCGTGCACCACCCATTGCTAGACAAGGCCCCCTGCCAAGTTGATCAAGGACGCATACTTGATGCTAGATGTGCCCGTCGGCTGTGCATCGCCCGCTGCTCGACGAGGCCCCTCCCCAAACTGAATTAAACCATACAACTCCTTGGTACTAGACGTGCCTTTCTGCCGTGCTCTACCCGCTGCTAAACGAGGCCCCCCCCAGCTGATTCAAATAACCTCCTTGGCATTAGATGCGCCCATCTGCTGCGTACCACCCACTGCTGGACAAGGCTCCTCCCCGAGTTGTTTGAGGAACCATCCTTGGTACTAGACGTGCCCCTCTGCTGTGCATTACCCGCTGCTGGACGAGGCCCCTCCCCACATTGATTAAAACAACACGTCCTTGGTACTAGACGTGCCCCTGTGCCGTGCGCCACCCTCTGCTAGACGAAGCCCCTTCGACACAACACCCAAGTGCTCAACAGCCTCCGTCTACAACACCATTCGTTACGGTTAGGAGGGGTCCGGGGGGCAAACAACTCAGCTTCCCCTAACCCTCCAAAAAACTCGTCCTGAGGGGGGGGGTCCACGGACAGAACAAAAACCCAAACCCACCTGAACATGGGAAGGAATGTCTCCGACCCCCCCAAACCCTCCCAAGCCCACCCTCACCCACCCCAAAAACAAATCTCTGAGGTGGGGCTCTGGGAGGGTACCCACCTAAGCTGACAAAAAACCAAACCGGAGGAGGGGGTCCGGGTGCGAAAGCCCCCAACCCCCTGACCCTCCCGGGAAAAACAACGAGGTAGGGTTCCGCGGGGAAACGAACCCGATTCCCACCTTGATAAAACACCCTTCCAGACACCCTTCCTGGGGGGGGTCGGGGGGAGAACCCCCCCCCCAACCCTCCAACAACCTTCGGGGGGGTCGGGGGGGAAACCTCTGAACCCTCCCCCGATACCCCCCCACACACACCCTGCCTGAGAGGAGGGCCCCAGGGGGAAAACCTCCCACCCGCCCTAGCCCTTCCAAAAACACCTTCTCAGGGTGGGATCCAGGGTGGAAGCCCCTCACCCCTCACCCCCCTCCCCGGCCCCCTGACAAAAACCTTTCTGAGGGAGGAACGCTCCCCTGAGGTGAAGTTCTGGGGGGGCCCACAACCACCCCTAACCCGTTGAAACCTCCCTCTGAGGAGGGGGTCCGGCAGGGAACCTCCCTTGCCCCCCCGAACTCCCCCACCCCTGAGGGGTATCCAATAGGGAACCCCCTGCCCCCTTATCTCCGCCCCTGAAGGGGGGCCTGGGGGGGAAACGCTCCAAACCTCCGCTAATCCCCCCCCCACGCCCTTCTCTAAGGGGGGGCCCGGAAGGGAAACATCTCCCCCCCGACGGAAAAGCCCGAGAGAGGGGGTTCCAGATCGCGGCGGGGGTCCGGAAGTGGAACAGGCTCTCCCTGAGTGGGGGCTTGGGAAGGGAAACCTCCCACCCCCCCCTCTAATCCCTCCAGAAGCCTCCTGCAGCCTGGGGGGGCCTCTTGGAGCCTCCTGGTGCCTGCCTGGGCCTCCTGGTGCCTCCTGGCGCTTCCCGTGGACTCCTGGGGCATATCCGGTGGCCTCCCGTGGCCTCCCGTGGCCTCCTGGGTGCCTCCTGGATGCCTCCTGGACGCCTCCTGGGGCCTCCTGGGGCCTCCTGGGGCCCCTGGAGTCCTGGATGCCTCCTGGATGCCTCCTGGATGCCTCCCGTGACTCCTGTGGCCTCCTCGGGCCTCCTGGATGCCTCCTGGATGCCTCCTGGGGACCTCCTGTTGCCTCCTGGGGCCTCCTGGAGCCTCCTGTGGCATCCTGGGGAGGATCCGTGCCCGCGAGTCTGGCCACCAAAGCACGCACACCGATCGAGGCTCATATCCTGGTCCCACTTGGGGGCGACACTGAGCGCCTCGCTCGAGGCATCCTCCACATCTGCTCCGAAGGCAGAGGATGCTGGGCCAGGAAGCAAGCAAACCGCTCGAGGCATCCTCGCCATATTGGCGCGAACGGAGGGGTGCAATACCCCCTGGCGGCTCCCGCATGGGGGTGCTGAAACCCGCACCTCGCTCGAGACATCCCCGCAAATTGCTGCGCCATCATCGTCTTGCCACCAAAACAAGCAAACTGATCGAGACGTCCTCACATTCTGGCACCACTTGGGGGCGACACTGGGCGCCTCGCTCGAGACATCCTCCAAATCTGCTCCGAAAGCGGAGGATGTTGGGCCAGGAGCCAAGCAAACCGCTCGAGACATCCCCGCCACTTTGGCGCGAACGGAGGGGTGCAATACGCCCTGGCAACTGCCGCTTGGGGGTGCTGAAACCCGCGCCTCGCTCGAACCATCCTCCGAGTTCTCTGTGCCATCATCATCATCATCATCATCATCATCATCATCATCATCATCATCATCATCATCATCATCATCATCATCATCATCATCAGTAGCAGCAGCAGCAGCAGCAGCAGCAGCAACATCATCAGCAACATCATCCTCATCACCATCATCACTGTCATCATCATAACCTGGCACAGTCTACCATAACATACCATACCGCACCATACCATAACATAAAATAGCATGACAATACATACCATATCATGACATAAGTGTATACCACTACATAGCAGAAAGGTGTGGCGAAGAGGGGGAGGAGAGGAGACGGAGAAGGACGCGTCTAAGTGATAACAAGAGCCCAATCTCAGGATATGGGGACACACCCTGAGGGAAAATTCGGGGGAGGGGGGGGGCGCCCCTCCCCCTGACCTCCTCAACACCTCCCGTGCACCCCGCCCAAAACAAATTAACAACCCCTGAGAGGGGAGTCGGGGAAGGGGACCCCCCCCCCCCTTCCCTGAACACCCCTCCCTGAGGGGGCGCTCTGGGGGGACTCCCCCGCTTACCCCATCCAACAAGTATCCCTGACGGGGTGCGGCGAGGGGTGGTTCTCGGGGGAAATCCCGCCCCCCCCCAACCGAGAGGTGTCAGGGCGGGATTTCCAGGGGGGGGTTCTTGGAACTGTTGGGAAAACACCGAAGTCTAACATCTGAGGGCCTCCATGTACGTATGCATGTGTGCATGAGTGCATGCAATAATGCATGGCTGTATGCATATATGCATGCGTGCATGTATGCAAGCATGTATGTATGTCTGTATGTATACACATGCATGCAGGCGCGTATGTATGTATGGCACTATGCATGTATGTATACATGTGTGTATGTATGTGTGTATGCATGTAGATATGTCTGTATGTCTGTATGTCTGTCTGTATGTATGTATGGGTGTATGTATGTATGTAAGCGTACCCGTACGCATGCACGCAATTATGTGCGTGCGTGTGCATGTATGCATGTGCGTACGCAAGTATATCAGGGTGCATGCATGTATGTATACATGCCTGGACGTACGTTTGTATGGGTGCATGAATACATGTATGCATGCATATATGTATGAGCGTACGTATGTGTATGTGTGCAGGTCTGTTTGCATGCATGTATGCATTCATGCTTGCGTGTTTGTATATGTGTATGAGTGTAGATGTGTATGCATGCATGTACGTATATATGCATATATATATATACACATGTGAGTATGCATACAGTTGTGTATACATGTGCGTATGTGTCTATATATATAGGCACGTGTATATAGATACAGGTGTGCACACATCGACCGCTCGTACTCAGGGGAGCGCTTACAGGACCCCCTCAGGGAGAGCCTAGGAGGGCGCACGTGAAAACTCGACAAGGACCATAGCCGTACGGCGAACGGAGTAAAGATGAATGGGCCGCTCCTCCTCATCTGGGACCGCCATACCATATACGCATACACGCATCTCTCTTCACACACGTGTAATATATTACCTACGCATACTTGGATTTTCATATACCTATCTACAGGTACATCTTTCTAAATTGTACACACGTATGCATTCAAGCGTGAAACCGTGGATGAACTCCATGGAATGGCATGAGACCAAACACGGACAGCCGTCATATGCACCGATGGATACATAAAGAAACGGCAGAGCGATGGATACATAAGGAAACGGCAGAGACCTTCCGACGCGCTCTTCGACGGCTCAGGTTCAAGACGAACACGCTGGTAGACTGACGGCATCTTTCCTTAGAGAGGTCGCGACATCGCTGGTGAACCCTGTCGCAAGGCCCCTCTAAGGGCCTTCTCGTGGCATACGGGTGCCTTCTGGGGGCGCTTTTGGGCGCTCGTCGTGCCCTCAACACGTGTGGGTCTTTCTCGGAGCCTCCCGGACCCTTTTCAGGGCCCGGGGGCCACGTGGGTGCTCCTGTGGCCTTTTTGGGCCGCTTGGAGCTGTGTGGGAAACCCATCTTGGGCCAGTGCAGGGCCATCGTTTTCGACGATGCTGGTAGCCTGTTGGGCTCGGCTGGAAGCCTTTGGGGCTCCCTTTCGAGCCACCTTGCGTGGAAAGAATTGAAAAATGGCGACTGCTAAGCATGTGCGAAAACACACTGGGTTTTGACTGACGTGCCTGTCGGGGGGGCTTTGTCGAGAGCCATGCTGGAACCTATTGGCGACGCCTTGGCGGCACCTCCGCGGCCATCCTGAGGAGTGCTGGACCGTCGTGACATGGTCCTGGGGATTGGTGGGCAGATGGAAGCTCTTCCGGGAGGCCCACGCAATGATCTTGGGCGTTTACGGCGGCTCCCAAGCTCGACCGGGGGGGGGGGAACAAGTGACCCTCAAACGCGATTTTCATATGCGTGTTTAAATACACGTAAATATACACATCCATCTATACATCTGTAGATATATACAGATGTATAACGATCTGTATGTACATGTATAATGTTCCCCCCCCCACACCTTGCGCTCCCCATCCAGATCCCAAGAGGCCCTAGGAGGCCCCTTCTGAGGCCCCAGGGAGGCTCCCAGGAAGCCCCAAGGAAAGTCCAAGAGGGCCTCAAGAGGCTTCCTCCTCCTCCTCCTCTCCTGCAGCTCCTGCTACGGATCCCACGACGATCACTAGTGCAGCTCCTAGTGCGGCTCAGGATGCAGCTCCTAGCACAAGTCAAGTTACAGCCAATGATACAACCCTCACAACTCCCACTACAACCCCGACAATAACTGTTGATACACATTTTGCTACACCGGCTACGTCAGCCAATCTACAGCGATCACGACATCTCCCGCTGCAGCTGATCGCACAGCTTGGACTACAACTTTCCCATTATTTCCGTATACAGTCCAACACAGATTTTCAGTACAGCTTGCACGAAAATACATAGTATAGCCACTCATGCAACTCGCATATCTCCCTACAACTCCTACAACAATTATTGATACGATTTCTGCTGCATCGTCTATTGTAACTCTACTACATGTCCCACGACAACTCCCGCTGTAATTCCTATTGCTTCCGTCAGCATCACAGCTCTCATGAATACTCCTACAACAGTTCCTTTTACAACCCTTACTACAACTCCTTCAACGTACATCTTTCACGCTTGCTCAGACTGAAAGCCCGACTGCAACCAGCAAAAAAACATAATCGAATCCAGCTGCAACTACAAGCCCTACAACAGCTCCTTAGACAACTCCTACGACAATACGCAACGCAAATATCACTACAACAACCCATACAACTTACACTAAAATTCCTACCGCTACTTTCACTGCCGTTCTTACTGCACTTCCCTCTGCAACAGGTCGTACAAGTCCAACTCAAGTTTTCTTGCACAGCCAATCGCAACACTCGGACTACAATTCATACTGCAGCCAGTAGCACGACTCTCGCAACAAATATTACTACAACCTCCTTCACTCAACTCCCACAACACGTCTTGCATTAACTCGGCCTACACATCTCGAAAAAGTCCGAATTCATCTTCAACGACAACCAATCGTAAAACACCCCCACTCACTCAGCTCTCAAAACACGTCTGGCACCAACTCTTCGGACAACACATACTACGGATCCCAATCCAAAGGGGGATCACGAACTGCCATCCCTCCATCCCAAGATGGCCCTAAGGGTCTCCCAGAGACCCCTGAGGCGATCAACAATAACTACACGCAGGCAAGACAACAGGAAGCGCTCAACAGCACAAATGCGAAATCGGATGCCGCACATCTCCTCTTCTGGGGGTCGTCGGGATGGCGTGAGCCTCCTGAATCAGAGAGGCGGGGAGAGAGATAGAGAGAAAGAGAGAGATAACTAGACAGATAGAGAAAGGGAGAGAGAGAGAGAGAGAGAAAAAAAAAACAACAAAGCAAGAGAGAGAGAGAGAGATAACGTGAACAAACAACAAATGAATATGCTGCCCATGTCTGAAACAATGTGGAAGCCATGCGAATCACATCACACTGTCGTGCCACAGCTGCACCCATTGCATCCATAATTGGTACAGAGAGAAATGTTACTACCGAAAGGCGCATTGTAGGAACAAGCTTGCCGTGTCATCGAAGGTGTGCTGCCGTTGGTCAAGGAGCTTCCTGGTCTGTATCAGCAGGTCCTGTGCGCCGAGAGAGAAAACAACACTGTAACAACGTAGGTCATTCTCGCGGCGCCCAGGACAGGAGGGAGAGAGACAATACCACCAGCCATTTAGGGCGCAATTGGCTTAGAGCGCTTCCTCTTCCAACCTCCTTCTTCCTCTTCGTGTTCCCTGTTACTAAACACAGCTTCCCCTAGGCGACCGGCAGCCAACCAGGACCAATGAGACGCCCCCCCGTCATTCCTGCCAGAAACTGATGCGAAGTCCACCTTAGGGCAAAATCTTGGGTCAAGACAGGGGGGTTGGGCGCGAGCATTTCGTAGTTTTTGTTGATAGCGGCGGTGGTGGTGCCCGCACATTGCCTGCTGTGCGCGGGGCCAGACTCCCTGACGAAAACAATGCGACATGCCCTACGACATGCCCAGAATCCCTACGAAAACAATACGATTACTGTGCATTGGTCTTGATTGGCACGGCGGGGTGCTGGCATATTTATATTGCCTGCCATGTGCAGATCAACCAGACGCTATGCTGGCCACCCCGTCGCGATTGCGCACTGGCTTTCGACAAGGGTGGTGGGGGCCGGCACGTCTCCCGATGTGTACTGCCACGTGCACAGTTGCACCTGGCACGCCCTGCGCGTGCCCCGGACGTGGCGCACCCAGTGCGGCTGGAGCCTGCGGCACACACGGCGCACGTGGATCGCGTGGCGCATCTGGCGCACCAGGCGTGCCTGCAAGCCTGGGCCACAGGGGCGCCCGGCGCTCCTGACGCGCGTGGCGCGCCTGGCACGCATGGCGCACCTCGCCCCCGCGTTGCGCACACGAGGTCTGTTTGGGTTCCCACTCGCTGTCCATCCAAAGACTACCGCTGAACACGCTGCGGCTCGGGTGCTACTTATGTGCTGGGAGGGCGGGTGGGAGTGAGCGAGACGCCTTGCAGGCGGGGAGGGCGCCTTGACCACTGCCTCCCCCAGGCGACCGGGAGCCAACCAGGAACAATGAGGGCTCGATGAGGGCCCCCCCACCACGCCTGTCAAACAACAATACAAAATACACTTTGGGGCAAAGTCTGGAGTCATGTTCGGGTTGTCAGCATATTGCCTGCTGCGCGCAGGGCTACCATCCTGACAACAAATAATGGAACATGCACCTCAAGGCTGTATCTAGATCATGCGCGGCCACCCCGCGATCACTGCCAAGTGGTGGCGTATAGCATGCTGTGCGCAGGCCCACCAGACACGATGATGGGCATCGGTTTTCGATACGGATGGTGGGGGCCGACACGTTTCCCGATGTGTGCTGTCACGTGCGCAGGCGCACCTGACACACTCTGCACGTGCCCCGAACGTGGCGCACCTGGCGTGGCTGGAGTATGCGGCACGCCTGGCGCACGCGGAGGCACGTGGCGCATCTGGAGCACCAGGCGTGCCTGGCACGCTCGGGCCGCAGGGGTGACTGGCGCGCGTGGCACGCCTGGCGTACCTCGCCCCAGCTTCGCGCACATGAGCTCGGTTCTGGTTCCCAGTAACTGTCCATCAGTGTGGCAGGCGGCTGGGTGTGGAGGCAGTACCCCTCCACTTGTAGAGTCGAAATCGTCCTATCGTGCAGGCGTGTGCGCCCAGGCATGCTCGTCGGGGTAATTCCTCGTCGAGAGGGGGCGTCGGCGGTGCGATTCCGCAATCAAACTTACCTTGTAGCCAGCTCGGACCAACCGAGCTCTTCCTGTGCATCTTGCCGAATGTGAGTCCGTCCGTCGACCAAGCAAGCAAAAACGCAAAAGCAACCAACATTCGTCACCCGCTTCCACTGTCGCACAGACCGAGGGGCGATCCCGCAGCCGCGCTCCGAAGCCAAGTATCGTCATCTTGAAATAGCAGAAACCCGCTGCGCACTATTCCGATGACCCGTCGTTATGCCTAGACGCGGCATACCTGGCCGCGTCGGCACGCACATCTGTCGCCCAGCTTTTTATCTCGCTCCATTGGAAGCTCGTTGGCCACCCAGATTTCGGCCCTCTGCTGCTAGTCTCCGCGGCGACGCGTGCATCGCATGCCTGCGCTTCCATACTTCGGGCCCTCTCCCCCTGTTCCACTGCGTCCTGCCGCGTTCGGCGAATGACGCGGCGGCCAGATTTGCGCGGGACCCCACCGTCGAGGCATGAGACATGCCCAGACGGAACATGGACTCAGGAGCCGAGAGGGAGCAGAATCAGAAGGGAATGGAGGGACCACCGGCGGAACACGGGAAACATTCGCATGCATGCACGTGCGCATGCACGTGCGCGCATCACGCGCCCTGGCCAGCAACTGCGCGTGCCCGTTCCCCACCGCCGTGTGAACTCGCGCGAGCACGCGCTGCTCCAACCCCTGGGGCCCCTGCCACAAGAGTCCATTGCAACCTGCGGCCGCGTCGACTCGTCGGGGATCTTCTGACCGGGGTCAATCCAGACCCGGGTCAGCGGGAAACCAAAAAACTGCAATGCAGGGACAACAACTGCAACGCAATTTTTCGCAAACCTGGGTCAGCCCATGGGCGCGGCCGCCTCGCGGCCACGAGCGGCTCGCTGACCCGGGTCAGCCCGAGGGGGTCGTCGCAGGATCCTGCAGGATCCGGCGCTCTGGCTGACCCCCGTCTGCATTGACCCCCGTCTCAAGGCTCCCGAACTCGGAGCTTGTCCCTGCAAGTGCACCACTGAAGCACGCCAACTGCTGCTTGCGACGCACCCCGCCGCCGTGCCAGGCGACGCGCTCCGTGTGGCGACGCATGGGGCCAGGCTCCGAAGGCCGTAGCACAAAAGTGAAGGGGGCCCTGGGACACACATATAGATAGACACAAAATCCCAGCGCTCCCCATGTTTTCTGGGCTGCCGTCTTCTAGGCGGCGAGCCAGGGGGGAAGTGAGAAGGGGCGTACCTTCTCAGAAGGCTCGGAAGTTCCCCGGACTTCTGACAAGTTTTCTCAGCCTTCTCCGAAGACAGAAAAAACTTCTCAGAAGGCGCGAGGGCTTCTGACAAGTCCTGCCGCCTTCTGAGAAGGCCTTCTCCTTCTCAATTCCCCCCCTCGCTCGCCGCCGATCTTCCCCCCCCACTTCCCATGTGTTCCCATACTTTCCCTGGGATCGACGATTCATTGTGTCTCCGTGTGTGTTCCCCCCCCCCCCTTGTTCCCCGTTCTCGCCACTGGGCCACTGCGGTTGGTGAAACAAAGTGCGTGTTTCCCCCCCCCCCCCCCCCTCCTGAATAAGATGCCGCTCGCCCCCCATTTCTTGAGAAGGGCCTACCATGAGGCCGACTTTGGCCATGTTGTGGACCTTGGAGAACCCTTCGGCCGTCTCGGAATCACCATTTGAGCCGTCATGCCCAGATCAGACACGTCACTGCGCCGCCCAGCGTGAAGCGAGGAGCGCGCTGCAAGGACCTGGCCCTCGTTCGGCCCGCTGCTATTCGAGGCGAGGGAGCGCACGGTCGACAGCCTTTGCTGCGATGGCTGTCGCTACGGCGGAGACGGCTGCTGGATGGCCTTCAGAGCTGTCCATGCTCTCATCGTGGGAACTTAGACGAGCGTGTTCACTAGTCGCAAAGTGACTACTCGCAAATGGCCGGGATCCGCGGGGGGTATCTAGGAGAAATTACATTGAAGCAAACGTGTGCTTTTCGGACGTTTGCGAGTAGGCACTTTGCGAGTAATTAGACGCGCCCGGTGAGAACTGGCGACTGCTGCCAAGCAAAGGTCCGCACGCACGCCGGCACCTCTCGCAGGCAGAGCGCACCCCTCCTGCAGCCAGGCTTCCGAAGGCGTCGAGTGCTTGGGAGGCCTCGCAAGGCCGTGCGTCCAGTGTTCTGGCCTCCACTTCTGGTCGTTGCTTCTGGCCGTACCCCAGGCCAGAGACGAACTGAATTCGCACCCCTATCGCACTCGCCAGGCGCGTCGCACGACGGAGCGCTCAGTACACGCTGCTCCAGGTTCGTGCACATGGACTTTCTTTGAAAACGACGGTTCCGACAGTTGCAGTGTGCAGGTTCCTTGAAGGAAGCCACTCCTACTACCCATTCTCGGGCCATGCGATCAAATGTCCGATCAGATGCCCAAGAGGAGAGAGGCGAATCAGGGAGAAATCAAAGAGAAGGACGAGGAGAAGGATCAGGAGGATACATAAGGAGAAAGAGAGGCTGACGAAGAGGAGGCTCGTGAGGTGCAGGGGGAGGGACCTCCTCCTCCTCCTACTCCTCCTCCTCCTCGTCCCTCCTCGGTGAAGTACGCCCTGTTGGACTGCTGGTTGACCCTGGAGTCGCAGGCCGGGCAGGCCACCGACATGGTAGAGCGGGAGTTCGGCGTGCTCGCGGAGATCCCCCAATCTCCCTGTCCTCGGCCGGAGCGGCACGTGCGACCTAAAGAGCTTCGAGGTGCAGCAGGAGAAGAAGTACGAGGAGGGGCTCGTGCAGGGGCCGATGGCGCTGCAGGAAGCTCCCCTCTCAGGGCGCTGGGCCGACGACCTCGACGTGGTGAGCTCGATGGCTTCGGACGGCGAGCTGGTAGCGGGGCTCCTGGTTGAGCCCTTGGACACGAGCGGCCAGTCCGACGACGTTGAGGAACTGGCGGGTCGCGGGCCCGAGAAGAAGTCAAACGCAGCGCTTGGGGACCGATGCCAGCGAGAACGGCCCGCCGTTGTGGCGGACGGCGGGCCTGAGCAGCTCGCGGTCGCGCGCGCGCAGGTGGACGCGCGGAGCCTCCCCCGGGTCGTGGGTGAGCCCGCGGGCGGGCCGCGGGCCGAGCTCGAGGAGCTCGTGGAGCAGCGCCGCCAGAGGGCTGCGGCCCGGAGGCGGAGCTGGCCGCGGCCGCGCGCATCCGGACGGAGCTGGTGAGAGGCCTCCCGCCTCGCAATGGGTGCAGCACGGGGCGCCGGGGGCGCTCGCCCGAGCTGGTGGGCGACGGCGGAGGCGAGGCCCTTCGAGGGGCGGCGGCCGAGAGCGTCGCCGAGCTCACGGCGAAGCTCGCGGAGAGGGGCCGGGCAGGCCTCCTCGAGGCCCTCGAAGGGGCCAGGTGCGGAGCGCCCCGGAGGCGCGAAGGAGGCGGAGCAGAGGCGGCGCGGGCCCAGGCGGCGCGGGCCCGCGGTCTCGGGGGTCTCTTGTCGGCTGTGCTCGGTTTCTCGACGACGGGTGATGCATGCAAGGGTTGCGTTCGGGTGGTGCCTGTCGGGGGTCGCCTCCCTCGTCGAGTCGCGTGGCAACATTCGGTTGAACCCCCCGCTTGAAGTTGGACTCCTGCGATCCGTGGGCTTCCCCCGGGCGATGCCTCCCGGCCCCAGATCGTTCTCTGTTGGTTCTGGGGCCCAGAACGGCCCCTGGAGCCCGATTCGGGCGTTGATTTTACTTGGGGGCTGTGAGCGGTGGGGGGTAGACGAACTTATACTTTTCGCGCACCTTAGGTGCCCCGTGGGGGCCCCTTCAGGGCCCCTTCGCTGCAACCGTCAATCCCGCCCTTCCATGTGTCGCCCCCCCCTAGCAGGAGGTCGGACAGACATCGGGAAATGGATGCCGGGGCTGCTGAGCAATCACGACGTCGGCGGTACAGGTCCTCCCTCCAAAGTAAGCAGCCGAACTCTATACACCGACGCTTTTTCAGGCCTCGCATGGAAATCCGCACAGGAAAACGGATCCGGATGTATACGGGATCCTGGTGCATACATTTTTCGCTGTCTCCCCGGGAAGAAGGGGAAACGAGTGTACACCACACCACCCCGACGTCGTCCCCGACCCTCGAGAAGTCTTAGGATCGAAAGATGGCCCGCCACTGGTCAGGTAGGTGTTTCAGCTTCCGACGAAGTTCTGGCTGGAATTTACCAGCCTGGAACATATCCCTATCCCTGTGCTGGGCATCTCCTCATCACGATGCCAATCTTAGGGATTCCCCTATTTTTTGAGGGTGCATCCCCAAGATTGTCCTCGCCTTTTGGCGTGTCAATCTCTGGGATAGGGATACCTTCGAGGCTGGTAATCGATGTTCCAACGTCCGACGAAGTTCTGGCTGGAACTTCGAGGCGGATCTGGCCGTGGCGGCGAGGGCGCCCCGTTTGCTAGGGCTCCCAACTTCGCGCTTCGCGCTCCGCGAAGCGCGAAGCGCGAATAACTTCGAGCTCTCGCGCCGCCCCCCCCAAAGGGAGAAAAGGAGGACGAGAAGGAGGGGGAGAAGGAACGAGGACCGCGAAGCGCGAATAACTTCGCGCCCTCGTGGGAGCCCTTGGTTTGGCAGGGCCACGGGCGAGCCGGGACGCTTCGCCACTGCCTGCGCGGAGGGGGCCGGGAAGCGGCCAGCACGTCGCGCCGACAAGCGTGCTGGGCAGCGAGCCGGCGGCGCGACGCGCGGAGGAGAGGCCCACGACCCCGAGATCCTCGGACCTCCTCCCTGCGACGCCACTCGACAGGAGGCGGAGGAGGAGGAGGAGGAGGAGGAGGAGGAGGAGGAGGAGGAGGATGAGGATGAGAAGGAGGAGGAGGAGGAGGAGGAGCAGGAGGAGGAGGAGGAGGAGGAGGAGGGGGAGGATGAGGAGGAGGAGGTCGAGAACCTGGGGGAGGCCAGGAAGGGGACGAGGGCGAGAGGCAGGGTGTGACGACGGGGGGACGGAGGAATGAGGAGGAAGGGGGAGGAAACGGAGGGGAGGAGAGGAGAAGGAACAGGAGGAGGAGGAGGAGAAGAAGATGATGGATGAGGAGGAGAAGGAGGGGGAGGAGGAGGAGGAGGAGGACGAGCAGTAGGAGGGAGGATGAGGAGGAGGAGGGGAGGAGGAGGAGGAAGAAGGGAGGAGGAGGAGGAGAAGGGGAGGAGAGGAGGAGGAGGAGAGGAGGAGGAGGAGGAGGAGGAGGAGGAGGAGGAGGAGGAGGAGGAGGAGGAGGAGGAGGAGGAGGAGGAAGGGTAATGAGGAGGCAGGGCGAGGGGGGCCCCGCCGAGGCCGCGGGCCCATTGCCGACCGTCCTGCGCAGCCTCCTTGCGCGACTCTGCGTCCCCTGCCCTCGTCCCCGCTCGGAGGGGGCGGCGGCGTCTGGCTCGTCAGCGAGGGGCAGCAGGACGAGGAAGGGCAGCAGAAAAAGAACATTGCACCACTCAGAGCTTGTTTGTGCCGGGATCTCCTGGTGGTGGCCGTTGCCTGGAAGGGCGGGGGGAGGCGCCGGTGCACTGGGCAACGGTAGCGCCTGGGCGGAGTGGGGCGCGTCGGGGCGGGGGCGCGCTGCAATCACCGTAATGAAGACGCGCGCCCCAACATGTGTAGGGGGAGCTCTACGTACGATCGTTAATGCGGGATGACGATTAATAAAAAATGGGAGAGGACAATTAAAACAAATGTCTGCTATTTCTGCACAATTTTTCCCACTGGAGGAGAACGATTAAAAAGAATAAAGAATAGTTTTCCAGCCCGCGGCCGGTTTTTTCTAATCGTCATCCCGGGCGCCGCCGCGTGAACACGACCCCCGGTCATTCATTAATCGTCATCCTCCATGAATGAAGACGCGCGCCCCAACATGTGCAGGGGGAGCTCAGCGTACGATCGTTACTGTGACCTGGGGGAGATGAGGCTCTGGCCCAGGTAGCGACCGCTACGCGCCAGAAGAGAAACAGGAAATCTCGATGCACGTGCACCGACCCTGTCCTTGCCCATCTTGGACCCAAGACGGGTGAATACGCATGCTTGGGCTGGACTCGGAAGCATATACACCAGACTTGGGCCAAGGATGGGCCTGGTCGGGATGGGTTTATGTGCGTAGGTCTCCTCGCCAGAAGGGGGGGATCGGGAGGACGAGGAGGAGGAGGAGGAAGAGCGGGATGAATGTATATATACACATATATATATATATACACACCGGCAACACAAGACGACATACTGGGGCATGCGGAGGATTCAGAAATCCTCTGGGGACCTCGGGGAGGAGGGCGTGAAGAGAACTGAATTTCAACTCCAGGTCTGGAGAGTAGGCCAAGTGCCGAATACAACGCCAAGAGCAGCGGCCGTTGAATCTCCGGATGCTGTGGTCATCGTGCATGATGAATAAACCGAGGGGGGGACATCTGGCAATCTGCCACTGTGCCTTGTGCACGCACGTTGAGGCGTGAAAGAATGCCGAGGGCTGCCTGGTGCTGTGTCTGTATGCTAATGAGGGGCCACCCCTACTAGCCTCTCACTGTACGCATCGCCCCCCCGCCCCCCCTCCCGGGGCCAGTCCCTCGTAGACAAGAACCACGGATCCCCGATCCCGAGGGCACGATCCTCTCTGAGCAACGACGTATCCGCGTCCAAAGCTCCCAAGATGGCCCATGCAGGCAACCAGGGACACCAAGTTGGCCCAAGATGCCTTGACGACAGCCCAAGATGGCCCCAAAGCGGCCCAGTATGGCCTCGAGACGGCAGAGGAGGCCTCTAAGAGGGAACCCAAAAGAACGACAGGAGGACCTCCAACAGGGCCTACAGAAACCGACATCGCTGATTTCCTCCAAGTCTTTGAATGATGCTCGCATTCTCGCTTTTCCGGCTTCCGTCAGCTCAAGCCGGCCCAGAAGCCTCTACAATGGCCCCAGGACGGCCCTGGAGGCCTGCAAGAGGGTCGGTGGCCCAAGAGGTTCCACGATGGCCCAAGAGGCATCGGAGACTGACCCAAGACGGCCCCAGAGGGCCTCCCGTGGTATCCACGACGGCCTTAGAAATCCTCTTCGATGGCTGGCCCAAGAGGTTCCACGATGGCCCAAGAGGCATCGGAGACTGACCCAAGACGGCCCCCGAGGGCCTCCCGTGGTATCCACGACGGCCTTAGAAATCCTCTTCGATGGCACAAGACGGTCCCACGACGGCCCCCAGACACCCACCATGCGGCCAAGAGCGCCCCAAGACGGCCCGAGAGAACCCCAACACGGCGCCACAGGGCCCCGAGACGGCCAAAGAAGGCCACAAGGACTCCCAAGGCTGCCTCACAGGAGGCCGAGGCAGCCCCTAAGACGGTCCAAACGCGTTCTATGGGAGCTCCTGGAATCGTTAAGACGACATGTGTTGCAATTCTGTGACGGTATTAGTCGTCCTCCTTCTGCTCCTGTCTCTCCTCCTTCTCCTCATCAGCATCACAAATAATCACCATCACCAGCATCATCACCATCACCATCACCATCACCATCACCATCACCATCACCACTGTCACCACTGTCACCATCGTCACCATCGTCACCATCGTCACCATCATCATCATCATCATCATCATCATCATCATCATCAGCATCGTCATGATTAGCATCACAGCCACTACTATCCTCATGCTCATCCACACTATCATCCCCCTCGTCATCATTATCACCATTCTCGTAATCCCAATCAGAATCAGCAACAGTATCGTGATCGACGTCATCATTAGCATCATTATTTACATCATCAAACCCCATCTCTATCACCATCACAACAACCATCCTTACTCATCACCGTGGCCATCACCGTCATCACCATCAACATCATAGCCGTCACCATCATCATCACCACCACCACCACCATCAGCATCATCACCATCACCGGCACCATCGTCACCATCAGCAGCATCAGTACCACCAATACCATTACCATCAACATCATCACCCTCATACCCATCACGGCCCTGCCAGCCCCAATCGCTCGCCACCCTGAGTGCTGGGCTGGCACGATGGCGAGGCTTGCGACAGACAGCCTGAGACTGAACTTGTTCGAAAAGCTGACATCACTACTGTGAACAGCGGGCGCGGTTGAAAGCGGAAGCGTGCGGCTGCTATCATCCACGAACACAAAAAGCGCAACACAACCAGATGGCCATATGATAACTTCACACGTGCTCCGATTGGTTCAATGAACACGCTCCGCATGCCCACCTCGCCGACAGCCCGCGCTGGCTCCCCCTCGCCAAACGCGCGATACCCCCACGCACTGCGCAGAAGTACTGCTTCCCACCCACCCCCACGCGATCCCGCCTGGTCACTAAATCCATCCAGGATGCGCCGCGTCCCATCCTGGACGTGTGCCCCATACTACGGGGGTCGATTTCGCACTGTCGGCGGGGTCCCCTCCCTCCCCCCAGCGATTGCATCATGGAACTCGGGGTAATCACCCCCCTCCCCGTCCGCCTCCTGCATCCCGTCCACCCCTCCCCCCTGAAAACGACAGGGGCCGATTTCGCATTCTCGGCGGGGACCCTCCCCCCCCTCCCAACGATTGCATCATGGAGCTCGGGGTAATCATCCCCCTCCCCTTCCGCTTCCTCCATCCCGTCCCCCCCGTCCCCCCCTGACCCGAAACAGTCACAAGTTGAGCCAACGGTGTTGCCCAGAATCGGCCCCCATGGGCCTCTCCCTGGGGGGACCCAAACGCACCCAGTGCTCACAGCTGCGCCCAGCCGCGGCGACGAGGGGCCCTCCCGAAGTCAAACTACACCGCGATCTCACCTCGCCCTCCTCCGAGTCGCCCTCCCCCCTTCCCCTCCCGCCGCCTCCGCCGCCCCGACCGCCCCCCCCTCCCCCGACCCGCCGACGCCCCCGTCTGCGGGCCCTCCCGGCGCCCCCCCCGCCGCTGTTGTAGCACAGGAGGCTCACGAGCGCACTGCACAGGTCCTTGGCCTCCGGGGTCTCGAGGAAGTCCTTGACGGCCTGGCGGCCGCGCGCGGGCGACGACGGGCGAGGGCGACGCCGCGGCAGCAGGGAGAGCGGCCGGGCGCGCGAGCACGCCGCCGGCGCTGTTGGCCCGTCGGCCAGGTCTCCGCCCCGTCCGCATCGGGCGCTCGGTTTGTTGCGCAGGGGCCGACCGTCCCGGCATTCCTATAGTCATACCACGAAGTGTTCCTAGAACCCCCAAATGTTCGAATCACAAAAACAAGGTTCACAGAACATCAACCCCACGTGCTAAAACAGGACAGTCCCCCAACCACAAATGTTCTAAGAAAATGTCGTGGGAATCACAAAAGGTTCTTAGAACATGGTTTGATCGGGCTATAGGCGAGCCAGGACGCTTCGCCACTGCTTGACTCGTTCGAATCAGGCGTTCGTTTTGGCGGGGCCAGACCCCCTCCCCGGCCCCTGCCGGCACCCCGCCACAAACGAGGCCTGGGACCACGCGCGGGCTCCGCTCGAGCTCAGCTTCGAGCACGGGCCTGGGAAAGCGGTCACGACAGCGTGGGAACATGGAGGGAACTCGATCCTGCTCGACCTCCGCCCTCTTCCCTTTGTCATGTCCCCCCCCTAGTCCTCTTGATCAACTCTCCTCATCCTTTATCCTCACCCCTCTTCGCGACCTACTGCCCCACCTCTCCCTCCGCCTTCGGTTCCGAACTCGATGCGTTCTGGTAGAAGCTTCCTGGAGCGTTCCAAGCACGCTCGACGAGAATCGATGGCCGAATCTTGCAGCCCTGGCGACTCACACAGGACGGGCCTGACTGGCACGGGCCCGCACCAGCCCAAGAGAGAGGGCTGCAAGAAGGGCTGAGAATGGCCACGGACGAGCCCACTAAGAAGTCCAGCGTTACATTATGCCCTGAGCGAACGGATTTCCAACTTATGCAAATGCGTGTACCCCTATGTGTGTGTATGTGTGCGTGAACCTCTTTGTTTGGGACCCGCTATGCGCGTGGTTGAGGCTTTGAGCAGGGACTGACCGTCAAGCCATTCCTATAGGACTACCACGGTATTCTCTCAGAACCACAGACTGTTCCAGGCAATGCTCTCTTTCAGAACGTAGAGGCCCGATCGATGAAAACAAGACTGCCTCAGCCAAGCATGTCCTGAGAACACGTCGTGCAAACCACTAAGGGCTCTTTGTAGAACTCCACTCCACAGGTTGGGCGCCCGAGTTATCCGGGTTAACTCGGGTCCGGGGTAACTCGGGTTTGGATTCCCGAAAAAGGAACCCGAGTTAGCCCTGACCCGAGTTACCCCTGATGATGTGGGGCTCTGGACGCCCGAATTATCCGGGGCAACTCGGGCCCAGGGTAACTCGGGTTCGGATTCCCGAAAAACGAACCCGAGTTAACCCTGACCCGAGTTACCCCTGATGATTCGGGGCTCTGAACAGGAGCGTTCCCTGCAGGGTCAACTTCGCGGGGCACGCGGTCCGCCTGGCCGCCCTCCGCGCCGTCGGCCCTGGGCTCTCGAGCAGTGCCCACATTGGAGCAGGCGACCGACTACAAACATTGATCTGCCCCAGAATTGTTTCTTCTCAGTCGAAGCTGCGATGAAGTGCGAAGACTGCTCCCCTGACGCACCAGCATGCTACGTATCTGTTCGCACATTCGGCGAGAAAGCCAATTTTGGGTACATCGATTCTCTAGACAACCCCCCACTCGACAGAAGCGCCGCCCGCAGCCGCCGCACTGGCCGCCTCTGCCGACGCCCCAAGCCGGCGCGACCGAGCCTCCTGGCCGCCGGCACAGTCCTCGACGCACCTACCTGAGACACAAGACGAAGTCGGTCGTGTCCCCCTATAGGGAGAGTTTCGGCGAAACATGAACAAAACCCAAATGCACCAAACTGATACAACAAAATACTCAAAATACTCCAAACATACTCCAAAAATGCTCCAAACATGCTACAACAAATAAAACGTGCTCTAAAAATACTCCAAAATGATAAAACAAAATACTTAAGAAATGGTCCCCAGACTATTTTTCGATTATTTTTGAATCTTCCCCATGAACGTGGGAGACTTCGTCGGCGAAGCTGGGAAACCTTCGAGGGAACATCCAACCTACACGAAAAAAACTTCAGGGTCCCCTCCCCTCCGACCGTAGTGTTCGGCGATGCCTCGAGTTCCAAAACATACACCAAAAACTTCAGGGAGCATCCAACATACACCAAAAACTTCAGCATCCAACATACACCCTCCCCTCCGACGGTAGTGTTCGGCGATGCCTCGAGCTCCTCGGTGTGTTTTTTTGTGATTGCCACACACACAGCGTCCGCTCGCCGCTGGGCTGCAGGATCGAGTCCGCAGGGCACGCCGTGCTCAACTCGCGGTTCGCGGACGGCAACAGCATGCGAAGCGATTGGGACGCGACGGCTCGCTCCCTGGAGAAGCAGGGTTCTCCAATGGGCTGGGGGAGCCGGCAGCCGATGACCTGACCTTTCGTCTTGGGCAACCCCACCTATGCCCGCCGTGCACCAATACGTACCCCCTTCGGCCCTGCGCAGCCGATCCAGGCAGGTTCTCGGACGGGGTTCCGGGCGGGCCCGATCCGATCACCCGGAGGATCGCCGGACCCCGAGACACCCAACCTTCAGGATGTTACCAGTATAGTTCAGTCGGGCGTGTCCTCCTACAGGGGGACGTTCGACAAAAAATCAAAAACACGCCAAAATAATCAAACATGGTCAGAAATACTCAAACATCGCCCCAGACTATGTTTTGACTATTTTTGAATCTGCAAGGGCTCCCAACTTCGCGCTTCGCGCTGCGCGAAGCGCGAAGTGCGAATAACTTCGCGCCCTCGCGCCGCCTCCCAGGGGAGATGAGGAGGATGAGGAGGAATCGGAGCCCAACCGCGAAGCGCGAATCACTTCGCGCCCTCGAGGGCGC